GAGGACGTCCGTCCCGGTTTGGAGCGTGGAACAGCGATCGTCCATCTTGGTGCCGCCCGCCCCGGTTTGTAGGATTCAGTAGTGTCCGCCCGGTCCATGTATCTTCGCCGCCCGCCCGTTCGTCTTCGACAGTAAGTTTGTGTGTTTTTACAGGGTCCCCACCGATCCGGTCGAAACAAAAAGAAAACAAACATATAACTTTTAATTTAAGTCTTATTAATCCGGATGGGTGTAATGTAAATAGAATATAGATTTAATCATACCATCTAAATTAATCAATGTAAGCACAGTTAACTAATTAACTGGTTTTCTAAAAAAATGTAAGAAATAAATGTTATATTCTTAATTTCTCGTTAGTGTTTTCTTTTATATTTTGTGAGACTTTTTTGAACTTTCTATAAAATATTACATGATAATTAACTTTCTACTAAAATATAAAAGTACTGAAATTTTTAGTAGAGTTCACATTTTCAAGCATGTATATTCCTACGCAAGTGTGTTTTTTTTCATAATTTACAATTCTGGAGTATTTTATTAAATCATGTTTTATCTCATAATTATTTTAATTATTATGTTGTCGACTGGTTTAATGGAACAGTAGATCTAAAAGTATGTTAGTTGAAGTGATCATAAACATAAAGAAAATTGTCACGTACGGACACTTTATCTCATAAATTTTTCATTATTATCTTTAGTCATTAATTGAATTTTATTAAAAATAGATACTAGGTTTTTTTATTTAATAGCTTTTTACGTGATAAAAAAATGATAAATGTGTTTTAGAATGTAAACATAACTAAGATGTGAAAAAATATAATGAGTTTTTGATAAAAGAATTGAAAAATGATATGAATTATAAAAAAATCACAGTATATTATTTTTCTTTTTATTCAAAATCTCATGACATGTTATCCAAGAGATAAAACCCTGTGAGGAGACCAACTAGAATGTAAAATTACTATTAGTATTATTACTACAAAACTTACAAAGATATAATCCCTCTATCTTAATTATATATATCCTTCAATGTCTCAATTTTTTGTACTTTTTTATGGCAATCTAAGTACATATATTATTGTCTTATAATCCTATTTTACAATCTAAAATCAAGTATTTTGGATTATATTTATTTTTAATAGGAAAATATCTTTTTAACAATTTTTTTGATAATTTTTTAGAATAACTTATGTGGTAGTTTTTGATTGGTCCATTTCAAATACATGAATCAATAAAATAATAATAATAATCTATTCTTAAAAAATTGTTAAAAGAAGTTGTTAACATAATCTTTTTAATAGAAAAGCAAAATTAAAAACATTTAAGTAATTTCTGACATTGAATACCTTCTATAATGTTGTGTTCGCATGAATGGATTTCCTGTTAAGTCAAATTTGCGAGTGAAGATTTGAGCCGATTTGCGTGTTCATTTTAAAAAATATGCGCAGACATTTGAGATGATTTGCGGGATGAATAACTTTTTCACCACTCGCTAATGTGCTGAGATTTGGAGGGATTGTTTAAAAAGTCACATTTATCCTTGACTTCCCTAGCGTAAAAACATGGTGTATTCGGTTCTATGTTTTCTGTATTCCATTCCCTCATAGTTTGGTTGTATGTATTCGGTTCTCTTGAATAATTTTGTATTGACCAGAGGGAGGTTAAGCATCTATGCGACGGCCATAGGGAGTGGCCCGGTCATGTTGTTGTAGAGGTCGAGGACCTCGAGTCTTTGGACACGCGAGAGCTCCGAGGGAAAGGTTTGGTTGAAGCCATTATTGGAGAGGTTGAGGAAGCGAAGGGCAGAGAGGGAGGAGAGAGGCGGAGGGATAGGGTTGGAGAACTTATTGTCGGCAAGGGAGAGATTGGAGAGGAATGGGAGGTGAGCTACGTCGGCGGAGAGAGTCCCGGAGTGGTGGAGTCCGGTGAGGTTGAGAGCGATGACGTGGCAATGGTCATCACATGTGACGCCGAGCCAAAAATAATAAGAGGTTGAGGCATTCCAGGAAGAGAGAATGAGTGGAATGCCATCGGTAATGGATGAACGAATAGAGCGAAGTGCATTGTACTTTGAGAATGACAGGGAAAGGGTTTGATGAAAATGGAAAAAAGAGGATACGCATTATACATCTTTTCTTTGCCTCTTACTTTGTTGTAAACTTTTGGCTCTTTGGTCTTTGAAATTTTAACTTATATTTTCTTTTGAGGTGGTAAATTATATTAAAAAAATATTATATTTAAAAAATAATTATTATTATTATTATAATTATAATAACTAATAATATTAATATTAATATTAATATTAATAAAAATAATTTAATATTATTATTATTATTATTATTATTATTATTTCAATTTACTAAATTACTATTTTTTACATTTTAAAATTTATTTTATTTTTTTTCTATTATAAACATTTTNAGCGATGACGTGGCAATGGTCATCACATGTGACGCCGAGCCAAAAATAATAAGAGGTTGAGGCATTCCAGGAAGAGAGAATGAGTGGAATGCCATCGGTAATGGATGAACGAATAGAGCGAAGTGCATTGTACTTTGAGAATGACAGGGAAAGGGTTTGATGAAAATGGAAAAAAGAGGATACGCATTATACATCTTTTCTTTGCCTCTTACTTTGTTGTAAACTTTTGGCTCTTTGGTCTTTGAAATTTTAACTTATATTTTCTTTTGAGGTGGTAAATTATATTAAAAAAATATTATATTTAAAAAATAATTATTATTATTATTATAATTATAATAACTAATAATATTAATATTAATATTAATATTAATAAAAATAATTTAATATTATTATTATTATTATTATTATTATTATTATTTCAATTTACTAAATTACTATTTTTTACATTTTAAAATTTATTTTATTTTTTTTCTATTATAAACATTTTTACAATTATATATAACACTAAAAATTATAATTTTATATTACTTTTATAACTAGGAGTATTTTTGTAATCTTTAATTTCTACTAATTAAATAATTTTTATTTATGTGTCACGTCAATCAAATCCTACATTAATTCTGACAAAATTTACTTACAAATTCACTCTCAATTATCCACAAATCCACTCAAAAAACAACAAAAAAATATTACCCTCAAATCCATTTAATTACTCTTCCCCAAATCATCTTTCACAAATCACCTAAACCGAACACCTAAAACAAAAATGATATTCTCACCAAATCTCATGTTTTTAAAATTGTGCTCTAGGTTCCAAAGATTATTATTGTCTTCCATCCATAAAATTAATAGACAAAGTGTAAAGGAAATTGACCAATTTAGGTTTGACTTAAAATCCATTCTTCTTTGTAATACACAATATTTTATAAATGTATATTTCTGTTTTTTCTCTCTGGTCTCTTCCTTCTGTGCTTCTGCTACATCTGTAACCTTGAAGAGAAACCTTAATACTAAAAATTAGTAATATTGAAAATATTTTAAATAACATAGAGAACGTTTAAATAAAATTGTGTAAATATATATTAAAAATAAAAGCCAAAATCCTGACCATATATATGACATCTGTAATCAATGTTTAACTAACAAAGAGAACAATATATACCTAATAAATGAGTGCAAGTTGCTTATTCTGGATTCTATCACCTTCCTTTCTTCCCTTTTTGGTCCACCAAACTCTACATACTCTGCATTCTTCCCTCATCTCAATCTCTTATCCTCACCCTTATCCATATCTTACCATATATCACTATAATTAATAATAACAAACTTCAAAACTACATTTTTAAGTTATATACTTTTAATCAAATATATTATTCATTCTTATGTTTCAATATTAATATAATAAAATTTAAAAAAATATAAGTTTAGTTTCTTAGTTTTAAAGGATTTGATAAAATTATGCGCACAAACTTACATTTTTCTAAAACAGATGAATTCGTCTTTTAGTTAGAATGAAAATTAATATTTATGTACATTAATCAAAATCTTAATCGTGGATCTAACATAAATTCACTCACTTTTAATTTTTCCAAATCTCTATTATATCAAATAAACAAATTTATTTTCATCATATTTCATATTTACTCGACAAGACATACAGGTAAAAACTAGGTAGATCGTACAACACCTGTCATTTATTCCATCATCTGACAAAGGCAGGATCAGACAATTATATACGGTCAATAAACGAGTCACATTGTACTATTGTGGTACGCGTCACAGGAGGACAAAGCTCTAGCCACCCAACACTGGATAAGGATTGCCACGTCACTAACTTTCTCGGAGGACACACCATCTGACGAAAACCAGCAACAAAAACAAAAACTCCTTGATGAACAAACACATGCCCTAATCCTTAACTGACACGTGTCAATCCGTTCCTTCTTTTGCACCTACAAATCCACCTCTCATTCCGGTTACCTTCTCCTCTCTCCCGTCCCTTTTTTTCTCTCTCTCGCACGCACTGCTTATTGATGCTCTAAAAACTTTATCTATATACGCCTCTCTGATGCGACGGGTGCTTCCAATTTTCCGGCAAGCTTCAAACTTTTCGTCGCCGGCTCCGATTTAGATTATTTTCCGGTATGAATCGTTTGCGACATCCCCTTTGCTGATTTAGAAATGCTAGATCTACTCATCGTGTCACACGTTCGATCTAAAACCTGGTTCCACAAGAGGAGAAAAAACCTCCCACTTCGTTCCCACAAGCACCAGTTATATTTCCCTTCCAATTTCGCAAAACTATATTGTAATTTTCGAATTGTACAGCTAGAATTTCTTTCCTTTTTTTAATTTATTTTTATACTTCCTTTATTGTTCAATTTTCGTTGTCGGGTTTGCAAAGGTTGTACAGTTAGGGTTGGGGTGTGTTTGAAGAAAAGAGCAGATTTTGAATCTGGGTTTTTGTTGGATGGTGGAGAATATGGATATAAAAAAGGGTCTCTGATTGTGATATTGGCTGCAACTTCAAGGTTTTTGAGGTGTCGTGACCTCAACTGTGTCTGCATTTGTCAGTAATTTTCTGCAATATCAAAGAACGTGACAAAATTGTGACTGTAACGTAAAAGCTTGGTAGTGAAAGTGGGGGAAATGAGCATGAGAATGGCAGAGGAAGAATCTAGCGAGGAGGTTCATGTTCCGGGTGAGATTGATTGGCAAATGCTTGATAAATCCAAGTTCTTCTTCCTTGGTGCTGCTCTTTTCTCTGGGGTTTCTGCAACCCTTTACCCTGTTGTTGTGTTGAAGACTAGGCAGCAAGTGGCACAGTCCCAAGTGTCTTGCATCAACACTGCATTTTCGTTGATCAAGGGTGAGGGTTTTAGAGCATTGTACCGTGGGTTTGGGACTTCTTTGATGGGTACAATCCCTGCCAGGGCTCTTTACATGGCTGCATTAGAGGTTACCAAAAGCAATGTGGGCACGGCCACTGTTAGGTTTGGTCTTGGTGAACCCACTGCTTCTGCAGTTGCCAATGCAGCTGCGGGCTTGAGTGCAGCCATGGCAGCTCAGCTTGTGTGGACCCCTGTTGATGTTGTGAGCCAGAGGTTGATGGTTCAAGGCTGTTGTGATTCTAAAAATCCAAAGGCTTCGGCATTTCGGTACATCAATGGGATTGATGCCTTCAGGAAGATATTGAGCAATGATGGCCTTAGGGGCTTGTATAGGGGTTTTGGGATCTCAATTTTGACCTATGCCCCTTCAAACGCAGTTTGGTGGGCTTCATATTCTGTTGCACAAAGGATGGTCTGGGGTGGAGTTGGGTACTACTTGAGCAAGGGCAATGATAATGCAACTAACAGTGCTTTGAGGCCTGATACAAAAACCATGATGGCAGTTCAGGGAGTCAGTGCAGCAGTGGCTGGTGGCATGTCTGCTTTGATCACCATGCCACTGGACACCATCAAGACAAGACTGCAGGTCTTGGATGGCGACGAGAACGGCCGTCGTGGACCCACCATTATGCAGACAGTGAGGAGTCTGGTCAGGGAAGGTGGTTGGATGGCTTGTTACCGAGGATTGGGTCCTAGGTGGGCATCTATGTCAATGTCTGCAACAACAATGATAACTACTTATGAGTTCCTCAAACGGCTCTCAGCGAAGAACCAAGAGGTTTTAACATAATGAAGAATAGGTTTATGACAGCAAAGAAAAAGGATAAACAGAGAGAAGACGAGGTTCATCTTTGCCTGTTTTCTTTTCTTTTCTTCTTTCTACTTGTCATTGTTGTTTCTTCCCTTTTAGTTTACCACAATGACTGCTTCATCAATGTAAGTCGTTGCAGGTTATTACATAAATAAAAAGTTACTTCTAACACATCTCTACATTTCTCAGCCACCATATGCAACAGGCCTCAATTTTACTTGAAAGTTTGATTTGATAATGGTGACTCACTCTGGTTTTCAAATTGAATATCATGAACTAGCTGACTTAGCAATAGCAACTCTCAAACGCAAGAATCGTGTCATGTGGATTTCAACTTTATGCACCATGTGATCTACTCCAGACTTTTCAAACAAAAGATAAAAATGTTGAACCTGAGAGTATAGCAGTCACATGAGCATTCGAGACTCTTCTATGTATTTTTCAACTTACATATTTACTTAGTCTAATAGTTATGAGGAAGTGGGGACAACTTTTAGGTATCTCTATAGGTTTGGTTTATAGTGGAGAACTTTAATACAATGGTGGGACCACCATTACCAACATGTTGAGTGGTGGACCCGACTTTGCACATTTACAAAAACATAAAATTCCCACTCCCTGATAAATAAAATCACATATCAGTCCTATTGCATCTTAGCACAAATCTTTGTATTCTGCAGAATCTTGCACAGATTTATGTTATTGTTTAATGGAGGTTTAGCCCCACAAGTTTTCATTGAAAAAAGACAAGCATTTTTCTGATTGAGTCTCTAATTTATATTATTTTTTATAGGTTTTGGAATATAATAAAGTGGTAGATTCTTTAGGAGAAGAATCCATGCACCTCACAAGGAAAATAATTGAAATAACCGTCACATGTAAGAGCCACTTGTCCAAAATGCTATTTTTAAATATCATTTTAAAAAGAGTTTATCTTTTTAAATTGATGGTCTTATGAACTTATAAGAAAGAAAACATAGTGATAGGAAGGTGGTTAAGCCCTGGAATAAACAAAATTAAACACATACCAATAATGTATAAATAGATGGATAGTGCACAAACATATAAAATGCATATTTCAATAAACAAGTGTAAATAGCTTAGCATTTTCCAGTGATAAAATGTTTCTTATTATGATAGTCAAAGCGCATAATTTAAATTATGTTATCCTTTAAGCATTGTTCATATCGTATTGTCCCTATCATCCTTTAAGCAACTAATATGTTAATGTATTTGGATATAACTGACTTCTTTATTTCATGAAGTGACTGGCTTATTAAAATAGTTTAGATTTGGGTGTTTCCTGATATTGTTAAAGACTAGGCTTAAATTTCTATTATTAGCTTTTTAGGCTCTAAAATAAATTATTTAAAGTTACAAATGGTTGTTTGTTATTGTAGTGAAACATCTAGGGGACAAGACAAGAATGTCTCAGTAAAACTATTTTACAAAAAAGTATCATATTTATAAAAAAATACATGTAGTTATGTAATTTCTTGTATAAGTATGTTTAAATATATTGTGTTCATGTAATTGATTTCAAAATTTTATTTGAATAGTTGTAATCCCTCAATTTTGTAAAATTGTAATCAAATTTGTAACTTTTGCACCCCACAAATTTTTAGAGAATATATTTAATCTTTCCAAAAAGTTACTGCATCAATTATTTTGTTTTTTTATAAATCCTATATATTTTCACATCTCAGAACAAATCTAAATGTAGATCAAAAGAGAATAAAATTAGGGTTTGCTAGAGTTGGAGCCTGGTCCAAAAGCAATATACAAAATGAAATAACGTTTGTTGGAAATTTGTGGATAGTAGTCCCCACACTTAATTTGTGGGGAAATCCATTGAAATTTGTGGGAAAATATCCCTTCTTTTATCTATCTTTAACTTATTTGCAGATATTTTTGTAGGAACGGATAGGGTGTAGCTTCACTTTCTCACACTTAATTATACTTCTTGCCCCCATTACTCCAGTTTTTTAGATATGCAACTAACCAAGTTTTTTAACATAGTCAGGTTTTGACGACTCTCAATTCAATCTCTATTATAATTATTATGTTTAATGTCACTTTATCTTAATCTTTCTTGCAATTATTTAAATTGTTTTCCTCAATTTTTATTTTTACTCAATAGACATTTGTTAAAAAAAATATGATTTGTTTTGCTAAATTGATATTGACATCATTTAGAATTGATAACATAACAATGAAAAATTGATATCACATCTGATAATTCAATCATTTTGGATAATGTGAGGTTTTATTAATATAAAAAATATTTTTTGACACACCAAAATCTTTTACATTCATTTGATATTATCCTTACATACTTTTCACTTTCTTCTTTCTTGAAAAAATACAAAATTTTACATTTTTATGACTATTTTATCTATGTGCTGTGTCAAATGAACGTAGAAGCGTGTCACGATACCATTACTCTATTAATATTGTTATATTGTCATTTCTAAATTATGTGATATTATAAATTATTCGTGATTTTATAATGGTATAAAAAACAAATTAGTATGTTGTGCAAGAGAGGTTAAGTGTTCATAGTGTATTCGTGAATAAAAAGATTTTTGTTGTAAAGAAAACAAAGTCGCACATCAGATACAAGAGATGAATATGAGTTTACCATACCTCCATTTGGTTGAAGGCTTTTTGAAGTGATACCAAAAACAAATTTTTAACGACTTAGTCCAAAACGAACAATATCTATTTTTCATTGTTCTAACAAAAAGAAAAAAAAAAATATATATATATATATATATATATATATATATATATATTAAACTTAATTATTAATATTAATACGAGTTTACTTTATTATACACAATAATTTTAATTTTAAATGATAATAAATTTATATTCATTTCAACTTTATAAAATTAACTTATAAAAAAATTATTTAATTTTAATATTATAATTTTATTTTATTTTTAATCGATATAATTTCGAGAAAACCTAGGATTGAAAAGTCTATTTAATAATTTATTTTTAAAAAATGATAAGAAGTCAATAAGTCTAACAAAACCATCCAACCTACAAAAACAACAAAAGTATCATTCATCAAATAAATTATTCTTTATTTTTAAGTGCTAACATCAAATAGGAAAGAACCATTACAAAATTAGACAGAGACACATTTGTCTTCTCATAGGATATAAATACGATACGAGTAATCAGAAGATAAAGTACATTAAATAAAGTTTCGCTACAATAAAATATGTATCTTATGATAAATCACCGTAGAATTTATCGCTAGATATTGAATCATCCTATCACTAACTATTCCATATAAAAAATATTAATTTTATCTTGAAAAAATATCTTAATTTTTTAATACATAATATAATAACTAAGTTAATTCAAATTAAATTTAAATTAATTAAATATAATATAAATTTTGAGTTTTATAAGTTGAGGAATATAGTTTAGAAAAGTTGATTGAAAATAGTAAATCATATACGGACAACTAAAATAAATTTATTTAATTCTAAATTATTATTATTATTATTATTATTATTATTATTATCATATATAAATTTATCAATTTTAGTAATAATTATCACAAAATTTATATTAAGAGTAGTATATAATTATGGGTACTCGTTCAACTTTTTATTTTATTTCATTTTAGTTATTATTCTTGTAATTTTATGTATTTTCTTTTCTCGACTATGATATTTATATTGAATAAAATAACAATATATTTATTACTTATAAAAGTATGCATGGAAATATGAATCAATGAGGGGGTGAATCAATCTATGCAGAACTTTTAAAATCATACTAAAATTTACTTATCTTAATAAGTTTGTTTAATATCATGATGACCTTACTTGTCTTCGATCTATTAGTCAAGAGAAACCCAATCAGATGACAGCACTAAATATTGGAGAGAACACCAATTTCTTAACTTTCAATCAACAATGGTTATTAAAACATGTGATCACTACTCAAAGTAACAATTTTTATCTCTATAAGGCAAAAGGCTTTCCTTCCCCATGAACTACAAACCCATTTGAAAGCATTTTGTACACGAATTTATATATTCAATGCAAGAAAGATTAATCTTATACAATAATTTTTACTATATTCAAGAAATAGGAATAGTCACTGGAGTTTGTTATTTTCTTTCTCCATCAATGAGGACAAACATTCTTTCCAATCTGAAACTTTGTTATCCCCATTGGCCACCTCAAATATGAACCCAGTTTGTGGGGTGCAATCCAAGGCTGCAACACAAACAAAGGCAGCATCTTCTTTGCTAATACTCCCACTAGCTGCACAACCCTGTTGAAATAAACATAAAATGAAATTAGTAAGCCTGCAAATTATACCATAAACATCCAGCCCCTCCTTTTGTTTAGGAGAATTCAGTTAGCCATACTTGAGAATGTGTGAAGTTGGTTGATGATTAGAAGGGTCCTTTGAACATCCCTTTAGTATTGATTTGTTTTCTTCATTAAGAGGAGATATTAAGGCCTCTGGTATGTACCTGATCAAAGGTAAAGCCTTGCTTCCCACCAGGTGTGTCTTGTAATGCACCAGTCCTAATTATGGTGTAAGGAACTCCAGAGATCTTCAAAACTGATTCATCTTGCTCAGCTAGTTTCTTTGCATTGCTTTTCATCATAGATTGAAAGCCGCTTTTACCGCTATAAGCTGACAACTGCAACTTTGTTAAAACAAAAGGAAGATTGTGTTTGTGGTGAAAAGAAATGATATTGGGGTGGAGGTGGAAGTACCTGAGATAAGAGGATCACATGTTGTACTCCTTTAAGGCTCCCAACGCTAGAAAGAAAACCCTCCTGTAAAGAATGAAATAGTTCAAGCATTTATTCAGAAAACTTGTTTGAAGGTCAATTTTCTCAACATTATTGCCAGAATAGCTGAAAATAGAAAGAAACAGACTCAAGGGCAAGTAAATTGTTTGAACTAAAAACATGCTTTACTTGCTCTATGGCTTATATTTGAAAGATACATCACAAGGGAAGCTTCAATTCTTTCCTCATAGAGATAATGGCCTTGACGGAAACCTAAGCTTTGTTGAAAAAGCTATGAAATAAGAAAATCTGGTTTTATTCTTTGTTCCATCTTCTAAACTTTTATTCATGGAACTTAAAAATGTCTATAAACAAATGGAATCTATGTGAACCAAAGATAGATTACTAGTGAGGCATGGCATGATATTCACACATTTGGGCATATGATTGTGCGAACTCCTCTGAGAGCTTTCTTCACGAATCGATTGTCACTAGTATCTCCTGCCAGGGACTTTGCAACAAGCATCACGAGATCAATAATAAGAATCTGAAAAGTAGACAAAACTACTAACAAACAAACAATGTACCCGTTACCATCTGTTAGTAGTTTTGCAAATTAACTTCACACACCTCAACATAACTTCCAAAGGCTTCAAGTGCAACCCTTTTATCCTTCACCAATGCCTTTACTCGAGCTTTCTTGATAATCAATGACAGTATCACCATCTACATTAGTCAGAAAATAAGGCCAAAATTCAGAATTCGTATGATATTGCAAAGCAAATCAATCGTGGTTATGAATACAAAACCATCAATTCATCATATCTATCTATAACAAGAATATAAAATCGGAATTTCAAGATTCTGATGCATCAACTTATAAGACTTTAGGCTAAGGCAAGCAGACCTGACCCATCTCACTATCTCCATCTGTTACAAGCACTGCATCTCTGACCTCATCTTCTGTTTTGAAACACTTTGTCAAAACAAAATCACCAACACTAGAAACAAATGATAATAAGATTCTCATATAAATACAAGCACTGTCATTTATGGATCACTGTGTATTTACTCACCCGGATAGTCATCCTCACCATCTTCTATGGAAGTACCATCTTTTTCAAGGATGTCAGGTGCACCATACCACTTCCTTAATTTGGGACCCCCTGATAATCAAGAGAGAATCAAAGGCAATAAGCAAAACAGGAAAGAGAAAATGTTGGAAACAAGGGTTTGAAAAACAGTCTCAAACCGTGATTACGGCCACAACATCAACAATTCTAGAGTTTCCTGGCTGCATCGCAACCGCATTTATGGCCATATCAGACACAATTTAATGCAATTTTCCTCAAAAAATAAATATTGTGACAAAATCACTTCACAACCACAATTTAAAACCTTGAAACCAACTTGATTGTAAGAACAAAGTAACTATAGAAGAGGTATGTAAAGAAAGTAACCACCTTCAATATAATCGAGAATTTGCTCCATAAGGCTGAGTTTTTTCTTGGCATGACAGACAACAAATGGTGGAACAACAGAACCATAATCTCTGCTTGATGGGAAAGAGGATCCAAATGGTGTTCCTGAACGTTGAGAAGAGAAAGGAACAGAACTTTGAAACGATAGAGTGGAAGAAAGCGTGGCAGCATAGGCCAACACCATTGTTGGCAGTGTTACACTCCAACCGTCTCTTCCCGCTATAAAGGATAACGCATTTCTTACCAGTGATGCCTTTCATTAAATAATTAATAATTAATAATCCCTGAAAAGGAAATTCAATCACAGCCGTCAAAACATTTCAATTCTATGATATTAACCATTGGATCATGCCAATCTAACATCACAAAATCCCAAATGCACCCCTTTTCTATAAATTGCATGCAAGAGGCTGCATTTTTCTTCAGAAAGCTCGAGACCTAGATGAGAAAAAAGACAAAGGCGAGTCCTACTTTGACTTTTTCTCCATCAACTAAGTGGAAAGTTTAATTTTTTGTTTCTGGGATTTTCTGTTTTTGAAATGTAGGCAAGTGCAATTTTACAATGGAATAAACACGTTAAGCTTTTGCAGTTAAGGTTGTTACCATAGAAATACTGTATTTTCCGGTGTATATTTTGTCATTATTATCTAATGAAAATTCTTCTTTGATCAAAAAAACAAATGATGTAAAGTTTACATTCTTTGTACAGTAATGTAGTTAGATAACTTAAATAACAAAATTTTATTTGTCTTAATAACAAATATCTTACGTAGAAATGGTAGTTATTTCCATAACTCATCCTTAAAACCTTCCTAAGTTATGCATGTTGTCTCGTTTCTTCTATAAATACATGAACTAAAGCATGAACATTCCTTGCATAACATTCCTTGCATATAGATAAACGGCAGAGAAAATTTCACTTCACCCATGATTTAGTATTCTGGAAATAGACAAATTTATTGGTATTGGAACACTTCCATAAAAAATGGGCGATTCAACATTCTGAATTGCCACTTAAACTTCGCTGAAAACCCATATTTATATTTGGAATAATGAAGACAGAAATGTCAGTAATCATGTGATTGAATCGTTCGAACGTTAGAACTTCCTACGAAGTAACCTCGTTGAGATTGATCTCTGCATGTCGACATTCGTCTCCTCTCGTGCATAATCAATTTAAATGGTGTCATATTAAAAGAACAAGGACTCATGGTTTCAACTTCACCAGCCTCATAAGACGATATGGAGCATGCACACATTGACTATAAAATAAAGATAACAGTTTCCTGGATACATTAGCTTAGCCACCCTTTTCGCCGGCTAAAAGCTCGGTGTGAAAAACCAAACATAAGGTCCAAAAGTCCTTCAGTTATGGGGGAGGGTTAGCAAACTAGTAATCACATAACTAGAAATCCATTTAAATAAATTTGTGTTTTTCATTAACCTAGTCTTAACGTGACATTAAGGAAAAGACTTCACTTTCCCAAGTCAACAATGCATAAACTACAAATTGATCATATCCAAGGCGTCGACTGAATTGCAGTTGACACTAACAAAACCAAACACAGCAGAATCCTACAGACTAGAAAAGAAACCTACATCTGCCAAACACAAACTATCCATAAACTGCAACATCTAGGAAGAAAAGCAGAACACGATCAGCAAAGACCCCAACAATGATTGTCAACGGAGGAACAACTTGGTTCATGTTCGTCAGGGGAGAGCTCTCTTGTTACTGCATGAGGGACACTTGTATTGTTTGATATGCTCTGCCCTAGCTGGTGTAATCTTCACACATTTACCATGGAACCATTTCTCACATATGTCACAGCAAATCCAGAATTCATCAGTGCCATAATGCTCACCACATGCCCCACACAAGGTCTCTCCATGTTCATCATCATCTTGTTCATCCAGTTCTTCATCCTCTTCTTTTGGTTGCGATGGCTTTGACTGTCTACTCTGAGAATCTGGAGCTCGTTGCTGCACAAAATAACAATTAGATGAGAAAGCAAACAAGCTGAGGACCAAAACAGAACCACAATATGATGACATCATGCAAAATATGAGCCAGATCTATACCTTCACACATTTTCATACAAATACAGAACTACAGCAACAATGCATCCCATTTAAACAACCGCTTCAACAGACAATGAAAACATCAATGTGGTACCACTACAACATACAGAAATTCAAGCAAAGAAATTCCCAAAATCAGATTTGAATTCAGAACTGTACAAAATCATGATAGGATATTCCCATATTTTATCCCCCTCTTCATCTAACCCCTTTCCTACAGGAATGAGGTTGGTAGTTAAGAATCCAAATAGATCATTTATACAGGTAAGGAACACGATATATTGGAAGTTAATAAATAGATATATACAAATTCATATGCCATAACCCTTTAAGATCAAATTTCAGGTTAGAAGTGCAGTGCTTACAGATCAAAACTAAAATACAAGGTCAAGTTAAGATGTATATCCATTTCACCGACACTTCAATCTTTTAGACACAGCTTAATCTCATCAAGGGATATAAGTTGTATCAAGGTCATAAAGTTTCAACATTGTTCCCCACTCTAACTACGCTAGTGTTATCTTTAATCTCTATTCATATGAAATTGTCTCAGCAAGCACACATAACAATCTGCTTATTCTACATTATTTTTTAAGAGCATACCAGAGAATGCCACTATCCATAACTACCCATATTTTCTGTTAAGGACTCGGGGCATAGTATACCATGATATTGAACCCCTACTTACGAAATGATATCCATAAAATGTGAAACTATATTTATCTTCAGAAAACATGCATATATACATCACCATTTTCATAAGATTTACACAATATTTCTAATGTTTTAAAGTATTGAATGCAAACTGAACTTTCATAAATTAACTCAACACACAATGCACTTAAACTAATGAGGCTATAATCTAGAAACAGACAACACCTGAAGATCAACCTGAGTTCATCACTGCTACAAAAAAAAAGGTATAAATGAAAAAATAAAATTATAGGCCATGCAGGGGTTCAAGAAGATATTATTACTGCCTTAGAGCTGGACTTAGACTTGCTGCCACTGTGGTTTGAAACAGAAGACTTCTCCTTAACTTGCTTCTTTGCTGCACCAGTAACAACTTCAAATATTGTTGGCAATTCGTTGATCATGTTGAAAAGTCGTTTCCTGCATTACATATGCAAATCATGAGTATATGGATGGATAGGACATGAAAAGGAAAGAACTAAACCAACGAGACAGACAAATCAGACAGGCAAAATCATAAATGCTCAGTAATTTTACACACCAACTTAATTTAACTTCAGATAAGATTTAAGGTTGGAGTATGAAATACCTGTCAGCTTTATCAAACCCGAATCTGGCTCCAAAATAGAATGCAATAGCAAGTAACCATGCATCACTATGGACAGCAACTAAAGATAGCCAGTCTTTTTCTTGCATGCCATCCCTAGCAAAGTTGATGCCCAGCACAGGCTCAGGAAGCTCAGGTGGTACTTCTTCAGCAGGTAAATTTACTTCCCACTGTTCACTGGGAAAGCCATACAAGCACAGATTCTCCTTCTCTAAAGGAATGAAGGCAAATGATTTATAAAACATGAGCACCAAATGGAATAAATAAAAAGCAAAGCTTATAATCCCTAAAAACTTCTTAATCCTTTCTCTATGGTATGTTGTTTGGAGCTAGAAGAGCCGCAAAAGCAATATTTCTGTTTGGAAAGAAAAATTAACAAAAATAACAATCAAGAGACCGAGAAGCACCAGGCACTCAATTAAATTTAACATAACTCAGCACAAAAAGAATACATATATGTAGGAGAATGACATTGACAGTGATATGAGTACGACAAGTTGACAATGTAAAAGAATTTCCCTCAAGTTCAGTCAATAACCAGATTTGATAATCACATTTTTATATTGAAATAACTACTCACGAAATTAAATGGAAAACATGAATCATGCAAAACCCTAAATATAGTCATTTTAGCATCACTTTTGTATAAACTTGCAGAACATTACAATAAGCTTGAAAACTATTCACAATTACAGTGAATCAAGAAAGGCAACAAGTACTGCAATGCTAGTTATGACCACTTTGACTATTACATGGTATACAACCCCCAAAATAATATGACAAAGAACAGTTAATTTGTAATTGAAAAACATAACTAAGCCACAATTCAACAAGAAAACACAGGAATCAATTTAAAAAAGGAAAAGTATTAATTAATCAAGAGAACAGGTAGGTTGGAAGAGTTTTAAAATTATACGCTGATATGAAACAAACAGCATTACGTATATCAGTTAGTCCAACACTCAAAGAAAAATATCCTTCAAACATCATAATAAATCAACAGAATGATTATTTATTTGTTAATCTTTACAGAAGACCCAATTGAATCCATCCATACGATAAGTTAAAAGCTAAATGACCATTCAAAAACACCAATATTGTTGCACACAACACTAATCAAAAGGAGAGAATAACTAACCTGGATCACATTGGTTGTAGAAATCTTCAACATCTGCAACAGCATTACCCAGAAGAAAAAGTCCATTAGTAAGAAAAAGCTTCCAAAACCTTCATACAGATAAATTTTAAAAGATAAACAAATACAAAAGGCTGAGCATCAGACATTCAAGCGTTGAAAATGAATATAGATATTAAGGGCCTGTTTGATTTTCTCACCATCTTTTTGTTTTAAAAACTTACTTTTAAAATACTCAATAATCTATTTCTCGTTCAAAATCAGTTAGAAAAATTGTTTCCATAACCAATATTTGAAAAACCAAAAACAGTTGGAAAATGTTTTCAGGGCAAAACATAAATGTGCTCAAAGGGGAAAAAAAACATTCGAATGTATTTAGGAGACAAACAAATTTTATTTCATGAAATAAACAAAACTGTTTTTGAAAACGGTAAACAAACAAAGACTAATGATCAGGAAATAAAAGAAACTGACAAGAAGAAACGCATCATATGTGTGTTTGGATTGCTGTTTCATAGGCACCAAGTGTCCTTTCACAATTTTCAAAGCTAAAAATGGAGAAGTAACAATATTGGTGGATCAGGAAAATTGAGGGTTACCCAACGTTTCCACAAATACACCGAAGTAGCCTTTTCAAGCTAAAATATAAACAAAACACCACGTTAAGTGCTAAACCATACCAGAGTTAAGCATACTGAAAGGAGAATAACAAGAAGAAAAGGAAGAAACACGTGCAAATTCCTTAGAAAGCACAAATCAAACAACACTCAAAAACCACACAAACCTACTATGGAAGGTCCAAAGCCTCTTCTTCAAACCACAATACAATGCCAATAAGGAAGCCGTGAATTGACAAAAAAGTCAAATCAAATGAA